AGTTTAAGTGTCTGCAAGTGTTTTTAGAATCATGAATTTTAACTATATACTATACTAGGCCTGTCATTCAATTAAAATGAACATTTTTGGTCTAATTAATAACATGATATGCCAATTGATGAATTTAGCTAATAACAATCAACTGCATATCAAAATTATTGGAGAAAAGCTCTAAAATGAAGATAATTTAAAGATGAATTATCATGGCAGACGAGTAAAGCACTGAGTAGTCATGACAAAAAGTGTTTTCAGAATTATTAATATATTGTTTATGCTTTTCAGGTTTAGTGGCCTCATGATTTCAAGGGCTAAAACACATAGCGATCAATTCATATGATATTTCTCATTAAAACTATTGTGTTTCTTTCAGAAAAGCAGTTGTGCAGCACCTCAAAAAGACTTCAGCAGCGTAAATGTTTATTATAACGAGCGATCTATTGTTGTTGGACATTTAAGGGCCATATCCAGGGGCCGAAAGTTTGAGACCCCTGACAGAGAACATGCAGACACTGAACCAACAATCAGGAAATACAACAACCATATCAGAAACAACAATCATGCCAACATACCCATGTTGATTTGGTCATTGGTTTGTGTGAGTTGTTTTCATGTAGAGTGTTAAAGTTTATCTCAGACCTCTTGAAATCAAGCTTAATCTAAAGTATGTGGCTTTGCTTGATTCCAAGTGCATTGGCATTCCAAATGTTTACAGCACTAAACAATCAGATCTCCATCAGTAGTCTAGTCACGCCATCAAACAGGGAGCAGGAAATTCACTATTAAAATGTTAGGCGTTATTCCGATTTTTTAATAAATTACTATAGACAAAAGTTTCATTTCATCCTTCAAGTTTGCCAAAACAAAAGGAAAATCCACATTAATCCACTTTACTGTTTAATGGAAGTTTATGGGGCTTATATATTATTTGTTATATTTACTTATATTTTTGTTAGAGCACTGACATACAATCTTCGCTATAAAAATATTTTATATTTGATTTGTAAAGCTGTCTAAACTGCCCATTCGAGGTGGGATCACTAGTCTATGAATATAAGGTTAAATGTATAGTTGTAAACAGCGCAAACAGTGATTATTTAATGAGGATATGGCAACATGGTCAATCTACAGTAATTATATGTTCTGTTCATTAAGTTTCATAGTGTAGATGCAGACGAATATACCTGCCACTTTATCAATGAATTGTGTTTTTGTTCATTATCGCATTACTAGCTTTTCACTTGACCAATATTTATTATGTGAAAATAATTTGAAAGCTACATGCTTTTTAATGTATTATTTACTTATAATTATTATTAGCATTAATACTTAACTAATTTGATTTAACATTAAATGTTTTTCCAAATGAAATTTACTGGTATTTGTACTATGTGACTACAAAATTTTTGGTATCGTGACAACAACAGTATTATTTAGTAATATTTAACCCATTAATTCTCAGCTAGTGAAGTCTGGGATAAGTTCTCCGTGTCATTAGAGTCTAGGGCTGGACAATAATTCAATATCAATATGTATCGCGATATAATTTTTTTCAATAACGGTGATATGATTTTTAAACACATTTCTGATATTTCGATATACATTACCAGTTTCCCATACATTGATTTATTTGTGCCGTTTGACTTCGTTGAATAAACATGAGCACTGCACGTTTCAAAATCAAAAAATGTCGCGGGTGTTTTATATAAATGTATCTGTGAAGGGAACCGACTGTCTTCAGAAAAGTTTCGATGGCATTTTCATTTGATCTGATAAAGAAGCGTTCATGAGCGGAGCTGCTTTGATTACAGCCATTACTGGAGAAACCGCTAGTTCTATCACTCTAAAAGCGCCTCCTGCTAGCAGAGCATGAGTTTTCATTTTAAATAAGCCCGTCTCCAGCAACATTTCCAGTTTTTGTTGTTCAATTTTTTTGTTTTCTGCAGCGACTCGGAGCACTTTTCATACCCTTTTTTTCTGGCTGAAGCACATTTGTTTCAATCTATAAGAATAATCAGCCTACACTACCAGTCAAAAGTTTTTGAACAGTAAGATTTTTAAGGTTTTTTTTTTTTTAAGAATTCTCTTCTGCTCACCAAGGCTGCATTTATTTGATCCAAAGTACAGCAAAAACAGTAAAATGTTGAAATATTTTTACTATTTAAAATTGCTTTCTATTTGAATAGATTTTAAAATGTAATTTATTCCTGTGATCATACATAGGTAAATTTTCAGCATCATTACTCCAGTCTTCAGTGTCACATGATCCTTCAGAAATCATTCTAATATGCTGATTTGCTGATTATCAATATTTATTTAAACAATCATTCATGATAACGTACACTGTGAACTGAAACACAGCACAGGAAGTCCAAAACCGGGCATAAACAGCAGGGGTCTCAAACTCAAATTACATGGAATATATAGTATATATGATGGATTCTAATATGCTGATTTGCTGATTATCAATATTTAAAACAGTTGAGTACATTTTTTTTTCAGGATTCTTTGATGAATAGAAAGATCCAAAGATCAGCATTTATCTGAAATAAAAAGCTTTTGTAACATTATACACTATTCCATTCAGTATAATTTTTATTATTTTTTTGGGAAAGAAATTATAGAAATTAATACTTTTATTTAGCAAGGATGCTTAAAATTTATCAAAAGTGATGATAAAGGCATTTATAATGTTACAAAAGATTTATATTTCAGATAAATAGTGTTCATATCGATATCGGAATTATATCGTATCGACCGAAATTAAGAAATATATCGTGATATCAATTTTGGCCATATCGTCCAGCCCTATTAGAGTCTAAGATCTCAAGTTTACATTTGTAGCACCCTCCCAATGCAAATAAAGTATTGTTTGTACTGTTGCTTATCAGTCTTATCCAATCAACTGTTGTGTTTACTTGCCAACAGAGATCTGACCGAGATGCCCAGAGTTCAATCTATTTATAGAAGCAGAAGAATTGCATGACGGCAGATCAGGGAACACCTCTAAAACACAATGACCAAACAATATGCACAGCCTAAGAGAAAGCCAGTGAGATGCAGTGAGCACACTAATTACATCCCGAGCCACACACACATACACACACAGAGGATGGGAGTGGTGTATTGTGCGAAGGAAAAGCTATATATGGAAAGTGATTTGTGGAGCCAGTGACTCTTTGCTGTACAGCAACGACACATTATTTCAATACTGACCGGTTCGTTCTCATAGTAATTTTCCCAGTGCAGCCTGTGAGGTTTCTTTGTCATCTGGAAGTAAGGTAGATGGGTTTAGAGCAACATTCCCCACAATGCCTGTTTAAACACATGCAGTTTTTAAATGGGAGAACAAAAGCATTATAGAATATAGCCACATGCTCTGGGTTAGAAACAGAAAGGCTATGCTCGGAATGGGATGCTGCCACACTACTCATACTATTTTCTTTAGTATGTACAGTATAATGTGCACAAAATTACACATGGAATACTCAGATGACCCACTACATTTGCTAAAAGGTGCAGTAGGAGTTATCCCATAATGCAATGGACTTAATCTCCAATTTCCAGTTTAATCATTCAATTTTAACTGCAATGTCTTTCTCAACTTATTATGTGACTGGACTGGACATTTCTGGATAAAAAAAAAAAGCTGTGTTTTTCAGTGCAGCATACCATGGTTTGAAACATTATTGCTGCACACAACAAACTGTTTCACATGTCTAAAGAAAAAGGGGAATCAAAATACATTGAGTAAATTCAAATAAATAGCCTACTACTAATAGGCTATTTAGTAGTATGCTAGTATTCCATTCCGACAAAGCAAAAGCACAAAATTACATATATACCAAATAGATTATGACAAAAGATGGCACACACTGAGATGACAGATCTTGAAATGGGTTATATGTGAATTTTTATATCCAGGAGAAATGAATGTTTACCTTTATAAGGATTTCTAAAATTAAGATTTTTTTTAATTTATAAAGAATCTGGTAAAACTTTACAATGAGGCTATATACAGTATGTTAACATTTATATTCCAATAGCTAACAAGAAAAACAATGATTATTAATCATGGTTAATTTTATATGTATTCTATATAATTAATAAATTAAATGCTGTAAAACTTGTTGATTGTTTGTTCCATCTAATGCATTAATAACAAATTGAACCTTACTGTGAAACGGTTACGAAAACCTAATAACATTTAGTATTTGCTCTTGTTTCAAAACGGTTTGACTGTTAGCAAAGCAAAACAACTAGCTAGATTAAATCCACAAGCCACAGCCAAAACTGAGCATATACTGTATTTCTCTGAATGTTTTTTTTTTTTTTAAATGTGAATTCTCCACATTTTTGAGGCTTTAAGACATTAGAGACGGAAGTTAAGAAAGAGCAACTATAATGGTACTTGAAAAAATTACAAGAATTCACACCTCTAAAGTTTCTTCCTTATTAAGTTTCTCAGCTCACTGGAGCCTTGGACTTTTGTATGTAATCCTAACTTGATATTTCTGTTTTTCCTGCTGAATATGTAACTGCACAGAGGAGTTTGTGTGTGCAGCCAGCGCCAGATGGACGCACGAGATCAAGGACAAAAAGAGGGATTCTTGACTGGAGACAACGGAGATCCTCTGTATGAGAAACCCCAAGACCTCTGCTAGTGACTGACAAACGCTGGTCAAAATTGCTGAGTAGGAATGGGTCATGATGACTGTCTAGTCAACCAAAAACCCACTAGTGGTTTTGATATTTTTAGTGTGTGATGTGAAAGCTAGCCAATCAGACTGCAGATTTGAGCTGTTTGTTCGCTATGGAAGATACACAAACACAGACATATTAGACAAAAACTGTTATTAACACATGCAGTGTTAATATTCCTGAGCATTTAACATTTCATAAGACAAAATAGTTACACACACAAACAAAAGACTGGACGGCTGCATGCAACAGCTTTTCACACAGAAACAAAAGCATGAGGCAGGTGTGTGTTATGGAAATGAGGGGCATGTTAGGAGCACAGGGCTGCTTTCTGTGGGGGGATTAGGTTTTAAAGCGTCTCTGTGTGCGAGACCACTGGGCCAGCTGAAAGGAATGAACTGTGGAATCCGTTTCCTCCATTTTCCCCTCCTTCCTGTTTGCCCAGTGAGAGTGAATCCGACAATGGGTCTGTTACGGCCTCAGAGAGCAGCTGCCTGACACGCACTCATGACAAAAACTGACTCCACAAGGGCACACCACAAAAAAAAAAAAAACTGCTGCCATCCAATTTTGTCAACAAAGCTTTGTTAATTTTTAGGAGCGGAGGCAGCGCGCCATGGTCCTGACATACACGTACTTATGATGAAAAAAATTTAATATTGATATCTTCTCAATACTACACATACCATAACAACATCCAGCTCTACTAACTATGAGGTTAAAAATCTATCGTAGTAGGCAGCAGTACCGCACCTTAACAATGGTTGACACCAGTCATAAAACAGAAAAAAAACACGACAACGCAGTGTGTAGCTATTACTGTCACACAAAATCATGTCAGAGGACATTACATACTAAAAGCGGGACACTCTAGCTGCACCTGAAAAAAGTTAGGTCACTGATTTTGTGAAAAAAGATGGAGCAAAAGACATCAGTATGCAGGAAGTGCTGATCAACAGTTATTTTGCATGCTTTTTGTACAACTCTCTCAGCCTCCCTACACTCACATTTTCACATTTTGATTCATGAACCAAAAAATAAAAAAAACACAAAATAAACAAAGTTAAAGATGAATCTGACTAATAGCATTTTTTTATTTATTAAACAATATATATAAAAATAAAAATCTATAGTGCTATCGCTAAACAAAATCTATAAATGATTCCTAAAATAATAATTTACTCACACTAAAGAAGCAATACAATAGTTATAGCAGAATGTCCAAGCTGTTATTGACTAATTCTATTTATTGAATTTAACTGAATATTGAATAATTCTATTATAGTGCCTTTTTAAAGATATAGACCCCAGGTTACCACATACTTTAATTGTATGGAAAAGAGCAGCATGAACATTCTCCGAAATCTCTCTTTTTGTGTTCCATGTAGGGAAAAACAAAACAAAACATACATTTCTATTTTTTTTTCCCCCTTTAAAAAAACATCCCAGGATATTCAGTCATATGTGGACAGCTCCATTTGTAAACAGTGGATCTCTCAAACCACCTTTCAAGATGTTGAGAAACGCATGTTTTCTTTGTATATATTATTTTCATGTAAACGCATGTGTCTTGATGCACCCAAGACAATGGACAACAAAACAACTGTCTACTATTGCAGCTAGTTCAGACTAGACTTGAAAAGAAAACATTCAAGCAATTAGAAAATTTGGAAATGCCCACACACAAATGTGCACAAAACTTCACGGAACATCTTCCGTAAGCCTGACATCAACATGCAGTGACACACTGACATAGTAAGTGATGTAAGTGGTCATGAAATCAGAGACCCTCCCCTCAATGAAATTCGATCTCAAGTGGTCACAGGAGACGCATGTTAACGCCAGATGTGAATGGCAATGTGTCTCGGCTGACCACTTGTGATCGGATCATCTGAGACGAATGTTAATACCAGTAGTAAATAGGGTCACTGATGGTGAGTATGGTGCATGCAGCAGTATCAGGCCGTACCTGATTGAGGTAATGGTATTCTTCAGGCTTTTTGAGGTGGAACAATGTCCTCTCCTCTTCACTCGCCCCTGCCAGCAGGTAGTAGAACACATGGTAATTCCTGGAAGAACAAACCAATGTACAATCAGGTGCAGTATGAACATATGTGCCTATAAATACATAAAGGGTTACAGTTTGGTCCAGATGGGAGCAGCTTGGATTATGTACAACTTGACTACCACCTTAAAAAGTTCCTTAACCAGTCACAACAGGTTTACAGAAAGGTTTACAGGTTTATTTTTGACTTGAATTTAATGAATTTAACATGTTCATCAAAGAAGAAGTGCATTCAAGTCATTGTATGCACTCTCAGGAAAAAAAGGAACAAAAGCTGTCACTGTAACAGTAACTTTTCAAAAGGTGCACTTTTGAACCTTTTAGATACTAATATGTACACTTTAGGTACTAATATGCAGTGTTGGGGAAAGTTACTTTTAAAAGTAATGCATTACAATATTGCGTTACTCCCTAAAAAGTAACTAATTATGTTTTTATGGAAAGTAATGCATTGTTACTTTTGAGTTACCTTTTTAGGCAGGGCTTGCTTGTTTGTTTTTAATATAAAAAAACTTCTCCTTTTACAAATGTAAAAGCCCTTTTCACAACAAAAGTGAAATGAATAAGCCTCAGTAGAGTGCGCAGCTCAAACATATTGCATGAAGAATATGACGCAGGAGAAGAAAATTCAACTATTCAGCAATAACAAAAATGAAACACAAATGTGTCATTTTTGCTTAGTATGGTTGAATTGGATCATCAAAGGTCAGAAGCAAAGACATTGGTTAAAAAAATGGGATTAAATACATAAATGATATTTATCTTATGTAACATTTTATTATTACAGGTTTGTATAATATTCTTGAGTTTGACTGTTTTTATTCATTTTGAGGAATGCTGAATCTGTTTTTGTGCAGGTGAGATGAGTAAATGCATGTTCACATTTAGTCTAGAACTACAGTAAGCATCATGTTCACACAGCACAAACAACGCCTCTGCACTTACTCCAACATGAGGGCTGTCAGTCAATACACGTGTAACAAAGTGGCGTTACTTATTTGAAAAAAGTAACTCAGATATTTCCATCTAAATTAAAAAGTAATGCGTTACTTCACTAGTTACTTAAAGTAATCTGATTACGTAATATATATATATATAACATGTCATGTCATTGACCCAGCTGGTAAGGACAAAAACTGAGAATGACAAAGAGATAGCTTTTAGGGTTGTGAAGGTGAGGAAATTTTCCCACCGGTTAATCGACGCGTGACAACACCGGTAATACCGGTATCACTGTGGGGGCGGGGGCGTTCCCTCTTTTCCTAGCTTTCTTACTGATTGTCACTTTATCATGTTTTGCATCATATGATGCTAAGCTGGTTTCAGTTTGATAAAGCATGTCCCCGATACTCAAGTACAGTATGACTGATGTGATTTACACCTAACTCCCAAAAACAAGGACATTATGGTCTGTTTCCTTCATAAACCCCTATGCCATGAAACCAGTGGGACTAGTAATGACAGCCAGTAGATAAAGCTGAGTGTCACACATATAAACTGAAAAATTACTCTGACAACACTGAACACTGTGGAGAAATGATTCCCACATGTTCACTACTGGATTTATTTCCTCACGAGCTTCTACCAAATCTACACTCTCTCGAGTTTAAATAAACTGTTGTCTAGTCCAGTATAATAATGTCCATTTAATTACAAAATATTTAAATTCAGCAGCTGGCTTCATTTCTTAACTGTTGAAATGAATATTCAACAGCATCAACAAATCATACAAGATCTCATACCTTTCATTGTGTTCCTGATAGACGAGCCGGGACTTCTCCAGCAGGTATTTCTCCACATATGCCCTGGATAAGAACAAACGCCAAATTAGACAGGGCTTCAAACACCTCTACAAGACTGCAGACTTATGCAGCTCTTACCCTCTAACTGTGCCACTTTCCTGATAGTTCACCTGGATGAACTTCCCAAAACGGCTGGAGTTGTTATTATGGGCTGTTTTAGCGTTGCCAAAAGCCTGTGAACACAGGAAAAACAAACAGCATAAGACAGGTGGCGGACTTAAAATGAAGGGAAAAATGAAATAAATAAATTCAATATATCAAAAATAAATAAATATGCTATGTCAAAGTGGGCTTCAGTTGAAAATTCAGTTGAAACTTATTTGCTTGTTTATTAACTAAGTTTCGACTTAATTTTCAATTGAAGCCCACTTTAAAATATTATGGCTGCCATTGAAAACCATAAAAAAAAAAACTAACTCTGGCATATGCATACTTTACCATTTAAATAACGGGCCTATAGCATTCTTGTTTCATATTACAGTAATTACAATTAGATTTAAATCCTTAAGTTGCCATACAAATCATTTAAAAAATATTCATTGCAAGCTTTACAAGACGCTATTACAGAAAAACAAGGCAGGAAAAAAACATGTTTGTCAAGCCAACGAACCCACAACTGTAAATGTATGAAGAGGTTGGCCATACCAGTGCATTCACATACTGTAGAAGTTTTAAAAGCACAGACTGTTTAATTGTAGGGGTCAGTGTGAGAGGGTGAAAAATTATGAAAAATAATTAAGAGTGTGATGCAAGACAACTTGACTAACATTGTAATTGGACTGCAACAAGAAAAAAAACTAATGTTTTGTAAGACCACACTAAGTCTGTTGTAAGTGTCCACTACATCCCCTTTCGGCCTGTTTTTGTTATGAGCCTGCCTGGAGAGCAGGAAGTTATTCAGTTGTGCATAAATGCTCTCGTTATTTGTAGCTATGCCACAAATAAACAAATTCCTCAGTGGAAGGAGCTGCCGAGGTCCGTCTGAAGGGACAGCGCTCGCTCCCGGCACCCACGGCCACTCCAGAGGTCAATCTCACAGCCAAGTGCACCAGACGCACACCGCCCTGTTATGAGTCAGACTCTCAGAGTGGGTTTTACGGCTCTCGGGGGAAGCAAGGACAAGCCGTTCTGCCACAGACTAATGGAATTCTGGGTAGGGCGGCACCAGTGGCGTACAGCTGACAGCCATGAGCTACTGTAACAGTCCAGCCATCATGACGCATCTAGCCAGCTATGTTAAGTAATGTCTTGAATGTCTAGATAAGGTTATGTCAAACACAGAGATAACTTTACAAATGGCCTCTGGAACCCGTGTTGGAAAAGTCTATTTAGCCCTTCACGATGAACAGCACTTGCCAAACATCAAGTGGATGTTGCACAGTTACTCCTCTGACATATTAATGAATGGTGCTTCAGAAATTCATCATTCGCTCCGCACACTAAATGGAAGAGGCCTGGACGCTCCAGGAAATCGGGTCAGACGAGGACAAAAATCAGCCGTTAAAGTGTCACCTCAACTCTTCCTGTGCAGTCAAAGACACAGCAATACTTCACGGCTATCACAGGCTTGCTGAGGCCAAAAAACTTTAAACAGACATGGAGAAAAGAGTGAGGATGGTCTACCAGACTTCTTGATACTCAACATTCCTGTTACTGCAGGAAACAGCTGCCATTAAAATCTGCTGAGATTCACATATCATGTACAGGGGTGCATTTTCCAAAAGCATTTTTAGCACTTCTGTTTAAAAAATGAGGGCCTTTGAAATTAGAAACATAAACGTGTGATTTTATTTAGGCTTCGTAACAGGTATTTATTATAATAATAATAATTATTATTAATATTATTATTTTCTTCATCATCATCATATTTTCAGGGCTGTCAAGTAATTAAATTTTTTATTTAATTATTTCATGCTGTGCCAATTAACTAATCAATCGAATTAAATTAATTGCACATCAATTTGAGCTGAGAAATTACCCACAAAGTCATTATAGTGTTAAATGAGGATAAATTGAATAAACTTTACAAAAATAGGTTTAGAAAGAAATATTTCGATTCAACATAGAATTTACGACACAAACCTTTAAGGCTACAATGTGGCCATAACAATTTTTTCAGAAGCTGCATCTGGAAAGTATTTAAGTATATTTGCAGAGACTGAGGTGGCATGAAAGCATTTACACTGTAATTAGAATTGCATAAATAATGCTAGGAGAATTCATGGGTATTAAAAGGCCATTACTGAATACTGAAATATTAAAGTCTTTCTTTCTTGCTTTCTTTCAATAAAATGATACTCTAAATATGAAAAATGAAGCAAGTGACTGTCTTTATGAATGGGTCACTGAATCATTGGTTCACTCAATTCGCTCAAAATGTGGATTCATTCTGTAAAGAAACTGCTGTGTGTAGCTCGGAAAGGCAGAATAGTTCTGCTTTCGCTTTGGAACTATTTTCGTTGGTGAAATTGAACAAAAACAGACTATATTGTGTATAAAATATCACAATATTAACGTATTTATTGAACTGTTGCATAAAATCAATATCATATTTTCAATCATGTTGATATTCGGTAAAAAAAAACGCACTCCTGCTGGTTTGATATTGCTGAACTATATCATATGCTATAAATATAAGACAAAAATCCATACAGGGGCAGTTTTTGCCCTATATTTCGAATTTTAGGGGCATATAACTACATTCAAATAGGCTACATCACACAGATAGTCGTCCTGCATCATGTTCATCAGCAACTGCATGCAATGTAAGTAGAGATGCACCGATTGCAATTTTCTTGGCCGATTCCGATTTTTCGTTAGTGTGATCTGCCGATACCGATTTTTGCCGATTCCGATTTTCTTTCTAAGAACTATAATTGACAGCATATACAAACAAAAATCTACTTTTCTTCAACGCAAAGTTTTATTTTCATAAAAAAACACAAGTAAATAGTCAGTAATAAAATAAGAACAAATAAAAAAAATGTCAAACAACAGCACAAATAAATGCAATAGAATAAAGAGAGCTATGAAACTAAGTTTTTCAGGTTAAGTAAGTTTTTATTCAGGTAAGAAATACTACAGAAATTAAAGTAATCAAATGTAAAATAACACATCCAGGGACGTTATTGCCTGTGCCGCTGGTAACAAAACTGATCGGCTCGAAATCGGAAAGAAGTGAGACTGACCGACCGATCACCGATCCGGGCCGATCATGAGGAAAATCGGCCGATTCCGATCCCTGGCCGATCGATCGGTGCATCTCTAAATGTAAGATGACTTACAGGTCTCTGGGCTGGGTGCATTAAATCCATTAATAATTTTTCCATAATTAATCAATTAATGTGTTACATAGACAGTCCTAATCATTATTGTTGTTATTATTTTACTAAAATATTTATTTCATGATGGTCTTTTTGATCCGCATTGGTTGTAATATAGTGTCAAACCACTGTCTGTTCACTCTTTTTGGCATTTGCAGTATTCACCTTTAAATTCCTTCATTTGGATGATAATAAGCACTGTAAAAAATTTTTTTTGTGATTTTAACAGTAGAAGACTGTAAAAATGCTACAGTAAAAACCTGTTAACTGGTTAACAGTAAGTTTCCATAATATATTCGGTGAATAAATGTAATTACATTTAATGTGATTTTACAGTAAAATACTGTTAAAAATACGGTTTTTGGAAGTGAAAAAGAAAAGTCGTTGTATAATTTACAGTGAAAAACCGTAAACTGACACTCCCAGAATTCCCTGCATGACACTTCATATTTGATGTTTTTTTGTTGAAATAACATGTTTCTTCTTAGTTTTTTCTTATCAGTTGTGTACACTAGGGTTTAATCTTACATCTAATGTTGTTAAATTAATGTTTATTGCATTATTTCAGTATCATGTTTGTCACCATGATGGGGGTTAGTGTTTGTGTGAATGACACTGTGCACCTTCTATATATAAGTATTGTCCTCCTCAGCTGGTAGAAAAGCTGTTTGTGATGAGCTCTGGTTCATCATGTGACTTTCTCATCACCACCAGTTTTTGGTGGTTATCAGTGCATTACAATGGTTCAAAACAGATATTAGTACTTCAATATGTTGGTTTATTAACATTACATCAGTTAATGAAATACGGTATTTTATTGTGAATTTAAGTTAGCTCAAATAATCACATTAAGGCGACTGTGTATATATTGCGAAAGGCCTGCTATGAAAGGGAAGGGTGTATTCTACCCCATCATGCTCTGCTGCTTACTGGCAGTGGCAAATCCTCCACAGATGAAATAACAACACAAAAGGCTTTTGTCTTGAGTTAAAGGTCTTGATCTCATAGGAGAAGTTGGGGGAGTGAATAAACGACTGAGAAGTCGAATTCATCACAATTACCGAAATCTGCTCTGACACATATTGAACTGAGAATAAAATGATATCAAAAGCAGGAACGGGAAGTTTGTGGCTTTTCCCGGCACAAGACACAGGGGAACGTTTAGCAAACATATTTTGGATGAGCTCCACAGAGGGCGTTCAGTGTAAGAGCTTGTGAATTGATCTCAGGGGCTGAGAAATGAAACCATTAGAGCATTCTGTCACTCACACAAACACACAACAACAACCCGCTCTGATCTCACGCCACGTCTTCTAATGGACCGCATCAGGTAAATATTATCTCTTGGCCAGAGAGCCATCACAGGGGAAATACTCTCAAAACAGTGTCAGTGTGATAAGACCATAATCCTCTCCACGTGTGAGCGCAGAGTTTGCAATGTGTTTGGGCCTGCAGAGCCTCAGGTGCCTCTCTTAACCAGGCGCGAGTGTAACGGCATATGTTTATTTCTATAGATCAAGTATTCCCCAATTCTTTTGTCAGCTGAACCCCTTTGATTTTTAAATATTTACTTGACGTAACTCCTGAGATGTTAATATTTTAATAATTTAACATAACATTCATATGTCCAGTTCTCTGATGTCAATGGTCACAACACATGCAGGTAAACGATTCAAAATTTTCAGAATTTTTCATCTTTTTTAGTAAGTGATTTATTTTGAATTTCTTTTATTAGTTTACATTTTATATTTCATTTATTGATTTTAAATTCACAGAATAAATTTGAAAACATATTACAACACAAAACAGATTATTTTCCACTATACAAAAAAGGTTCTATTAAACTCCAG